TGATTGTAAGCCGCCCTGAGTCCCCTCAGGGAAAAGGGCGGCCTATAAATCTTAATAAAATCTTAATAAAATAAATTTCAAGGCAAATGATTCCGAAGCAACATTTTGGAAGAGCATCCTGATCCTGTCAAATCCCTCTGTGCAGTGGCCAAATTGTCCACTTCCATGGCAGAGGCCAGATGGGGCAGGGAAGTCTATGCTCAGCCGTCTGCTGTGGCTATCTTGGAGGAAGACCGGTCCCCCGTGCCACTGACCTCTGCAGAAGCCTCCAGCTGCCTACAGAGCAGCTCCTTTTGTAGCGTCTCGTTTTCTGCTTGCATAGCTTTGAGGACCACGGAAGCAGCGTGTGCTGGATCCTTCTTCTCGGACACGTTTCTCCGAACAGCTGAGAGTGGTCTTTCTGATCGGCTTATTGGTCCTGACAATCAAAAGAAGCAAAAAGAAGCCAGAGGGAAGAAAGTTGGGCCTCCTATATTCCCATGCTAAGATTCTCGAGTCATAGGAGTGGAAACTCCTAGACAGCATAGAGACTGACAAGAGCAAAACCTAGTGGCAGCCCAAACAGATGTCAGAGAGGCAGATGGAGTCTTCTGGGAAGGAGTAGGTACCCGGTTCCAGCCACTTGGGGGGGTGGGGGGGCAATTGAAAAGGTGTGGCAACTGAAGACCATGCGACGCCTCCTGTGTTAGTCCCACAGAATGGGATAAGCAAGACCTGATGATGCTGGGCAGCAATATTTCAAGAGCAGCAACAGAATGTAGTGAACAATTGTAGAAAGGTTGAATGTGGGAACAGCTTTACCAAAGGAGTATTTAAGGTGGTGGGAAAAACAGAATGAATAAGAAACATTTCAGTGATTTTGATGCTGAACTATGTTTATGCACCAAGAAAAATAAGGAGAGTGACAGGCAAAGGAAAAGAAGAAATAGTATAAGTCAAATGCTGATTAACAGAAAGAAAATTACGTAAAGTGGCACATTTAGCTGGCCAAAGGCAGATTCTCAAACTAATGTTCCTAAATGCAGCTGCCACCCTAAGCCCTGGCATGGACATCTAAGAAAACCTGCCACCCCCTTTCCAGTGAATCACACTGGGCACAATCCTCTCCTTGTCTCCAGGAGGGTGTTCTGCCTGACCAAGGAGGTCTCCCAGGGTGACCAGCATCAGGAAAGCAATATGAATGTCAACACCCAGAATTATTCCAAGCATGGGCTTGTTGAGAGAAATGACAGGCACGTGTCTGCTGCCTTTCACCACTGCAGCTTCTGTCTGCCTGTCAAACTCTTAAGGGGGCCACTTAGAAACAATCTTCTCTTACTAGAGGTGGTTCCTTCCTGTTCTTCCAGGCACCGACGACCTGCAGCTGCCGGACTCATGGGCTTGATGGGCAGGTAGGTTCCAGCAGTGCCCTTCCTTTTTGCAGAGAGACTTTGCTCCTTCTTAATGCCTGCAGGGAGAGCAGATGCCAAAAGCAGGAACTTATTCTGAAGGCAGCCGGCATCCAGCACAGCCCTATTAGGCCCTATTTTAGACTGGGGACTGTCTTTAAATGCAACTGAGCAAAAGGAAACCACCATCTCAAGAATTGATTCAAAGACCACCTCTGCCCTTGTTTACTGGGCAGATAAAGGGCCCTTTCTTTTGAGGATTGCTTCAGAGCCAAGCCAGCCAATGCACTCTTTGATTCTGAAGATAAAAAACAATCAGCACAGTACTGGATTTATCCAGGAAATTTTTAAAATACTTTTTAGTGAAGATTTAATAACAATGGCAAAAGACAATATACACTAAGCTCTCTCTCTCTCTCTCAAAAAAAAAGGAAGCATAAACAAGGGAGAAAAAAGATCAAATGAGAAAAGGAAAAAAAATATTTAAAGAAGTGACTTCTAATCTTCATCACAAAGAGGTCAAAGTTAGTCATTCTCCACCCTGCTACAAGTGGGCCTACCTGGACAGGTTGGCTTGAACTCCAACACGAGAGGCTCAGCGGCCGAAGCAGAGTCTGAGCCAGGCAGAGGGGGGAGAGCTGCTGCTGCTTTGGCAAGGAGCAGCTCAGCGGCCCCTCCCAGATGTTCAGCGGGTTCTTTCATCTCGGAAACTTCAGTGGGAACCTCCTCCTCAATGGAGTCAGAATCCTCGGAACAGTCCCCTTTCACCTGGTTTCGGCTCCTGGCAAACTCCAAGCTTTGCCTGAGTTCCTGGCACAAAGAGAAGGATCTCAAACATTGCATAATGGCTTGGCAGATTTCAGCTCCAACATCTTCAGATATTACTGAAGAAAAACTTGGGAGGGCCACTGTCAATCAGAGCAGATGTAGACAACTCAAAATTTTGTCATAACTTCTTTAAACAGGATTTCTTCTGCTCTGAAGAAAACATCTGATTTAAAGTAAATTCTGAATTAAAATATAAATGAATGAAATTTGCATTCATAGTTACTTCAAACTTAATTATCACCTATTACCAAATGAACTGAGAAAAAAGCACACAGATATCAAATAGTTTGGTTGCAATCTCATGTATAAAAAATAAAATAAAAGGAGAAATGATACAAAATCTGTGTAATGAGCACAGTTGGAAAGAGGTTGCTTTCTTATTTTGAAATATCAGAACCCCAAAACTTCTCCTGCCCTTACCAAACCATAGCTAAGATACAGAAGATGTGACAATGGCTGCCAACTAGAACAGGACAAGGAGGTTGCTAAAGGTTGTTCTCCATGATGGCTAGTTAAACCCACCCAGATGAGAATCTGAATGTCAACTGTTGGGCTGGAGAGCTTGAAAAAATATGCCTTTGATCTGATCTGCAAGATTCCCTTGATATCCTTCTGCTCTCTCTTTCTGGCATGGCTTTGAAAGCAACGAGAAGCAAGGCTATTTTGCCCAAGGTTACTTTCTAAGGGGAAGGAAAGAGTGCTCCCAACTGCCCATGCTGGTGATTCACCTTTAATAAATAGCCGATTTGATCCAACAGATCTATTTACCTGGAAAGTATCATTCTCTTCACAGTCAGTTGTCTGCAGATCTAAACTTTCCTCAGATTCAAAATCCTCAGAATACTCACAAGGGGGAGCAATGCAGAGTCTAGATCCAGTTTCTGTCCTGATCTGCACAGCTTTCTGAAAGATTGAGAAAAATCAGTACACAGTACACAATATTACACTATTACAGCCTCGAGAAATGTTGCTTTTAGAACTGTAGTCATCACAAAACTCAGGAACCGTTATAATCAGACTTGATCCAGACTGGCTCCACAACTCTGTCCTTGTTTTTGTTTTGGGATCACCTTTACGTCTTCCAACAGATATTAGTTCTCAGTGTTTCTCTCTTAAGTCTTTGTCTATGATTGGACCTCTAACCTTAAGGGTCTTACAATTGCCCTGTTAACAAATTGAAGAATGCTGCACACCTGACACATCACTTCATTTATTTATACTTGTTGCATGCTGCTATAATCCAAAAAGATGCCAGGATGGGGGCTCTGGTGCTGCCTCCTCTTTTTCATACCTGAAGCCATTCCCGACGTTGGATTTTACTAGGTGCACTTTGGGTGCTCCTCTCTCGCTGCTCTCCTTGTTTTAACAGGTCTTTGGTACTCACAGCTGAAAGGAAATGGGAAACAGAATGAGAGGAAGGGTCAAAGTCCAGACACCCTGCATAACATGGAGGGATTTAGCTTATTTATTAGCATGATTTCTATGCTGCCCCAATTAGAGAGACTGGTCAATAAACCATTTTCGGGATGCCAGGATTGCTACTAATCCTTTCAACTTCAGTATAGACCTTTGGGAGTGTATGGCGCAATATGGTGCACTACGTTATACAGTATATGTCTAGTAGCTCAGTGACAGCAATTATTCTGCTGCTGCTTCCTCCTCCTAAGCCTTCTTCCAGGCAGGGGAGCTGTCTGTGAAAGCGGTCACAGAGGAAAAAAGCCTGACAGAATATGTCAACTTTCACAATTCACACAGCTGGTTATCACTACCAGGAACCTCATGACTGAAAATAGAAACTGAAACAAGTTGAGGAAAAGGATTTACTGGAAGCGAAGGAAAAGTTCACCCAAACTGACCAGTTCGTGGCTTATTTCGGGCCTTCCATAAATAATTGAAGGCGTCTGCTCTCTGAGCTGAAGAAAACGTTTTCTCAGACTGGTTCAGGGTACTGATGACCACCTTTAAAGCACTCCATGGTAGTGGATCTGGGTACTTGAGAGACCGCCTCCTGCC